GGGGGTTGTTTGTTTGGTTCGGTTTTAAGAAGGGTTTGTAACCAAACCCAGAATTTATGGAAACATAATAAGACATAGTGGGGAAAAGTAACATGGATTTTGGTAGGGGAAAGTGAGGCATCTAAAGCCTGTGATACTTATGTGAAACTGAACATTAGCAAGCACTTGGAATTCAGAATGTTTTACATTATTGCTGATACTGAAACTTACTGTGAAGTTGCAGGAAGGTTCTTGCCATGCCAAGTCACTGAATGGGAAGAGTAGTTTATGATGTTGAAAAATGTAGGGTGCTGTGTAAATAATATTTTAGGGTGGGGTTTTTCAGAAGTGTTCAGCTGCAATTCATGATTTCATGTGGAAGGTCAAAAACGGACATTTCTAATAACATCCTTTGTATTACTTTTAATATACTTTCTATAAGAAAATATATTTAATTCATGATCACTGGTTTCCAAATTGTAGTCAAGGTTCTTCAAGCGTTATAATCTACTTTTAGGAAGACCATGAAAGGTAACTGAGGTCAGGTAGTTTGACTCTACGTGTGCCTGCAGCTTTCTTGGGAACATTTTGTGATACCTTCACACTGAAAATTTGAATGTGGTTTCCCTAAAATTGAGAATAAAGAAATGTTCACTGTGCAGCAAGTATTCAATCTCTATACTTTGTTGAATTTCCAAATATTAATACAGCAAATATTTTTCCAATGCATTAAGTAACTCAAATATTTTTTAACTTGCAGTTGAGGTATGTTTAAAAGCTGTTGCACTAGAGGGCAGTATTTTTCTATTTAATGTAGTATTTTGAAGTGAACATTCAGAGGTGCTGTCTCTTTTGATTTAGTGTTTGGTTTTATGTGTCTGTTTAATCAGTTCTTGATAATCTTGACTTCTTGGGCCCTTCTCTTGCAAACTCTTGGACAGTTACTTTCTTTACATGTGTAAGTAGTTATCTAGCAGAAATAAGTTCTGAAAGCTGTAAAACCTTTATGAATGTTTAAAAGATTGTGGCACTTAACATTAGTCTTAACAGCTGTTTACAGTAGAAACTGTACATTGGAAAATATTAGCGAAAGCTACTGAGGGAAGGGCGGGGAAGGGAGATGGACTTGGAGACATACTCAAACATAAGGAAGGATGAGAGAAACCTGCTCTGTGTCCTACAAAAGAAGCATATATGCAGAAGAAAGGAACATATGGGCAGAGGCAGTATATTAATGTGTCATAGGAAGGGAACAGAGAAGAAATGCTGGGCATGGGGAGGAAGGGAACATGGGAAATTAAATACATGGAAGGCAGCAGGAAGAGTCAAACCAGGTGCATTGGAAAAGGTCTTCTCATCTGTTTTCACACACTAGCGTTCTTCAGATACAACTGTATTTCCTTATACAGAAAAATAGCTATAACTCACAGTGCTATATACTTTCTTTCTGTGCGACTTCTAACCTTTTAAGAAAGGAAAGCACTGATAAGGCCTTTTTTCACTATGTTACATCAAACTTGTTTAAGCAATGAGGAAAAATTATTTAAGTGAATAAAAAAGGGAACAAAGCAGAATCACAAGTGTTATTCAGAAAGATCCATTTTTGACCTTTTAATGATTTCTTATTCTAACTTCAGTGAGTTATGTAATGAATGATGGAAATTACCAAAACCTGTCCATTTATGGATTGGCAAACTTACCAGAAACAGTAATGAGAATCTGCTTGTATTTCTTGACCTAATTATTTGAGAGCAGTATCCCTGAGGCCACACTAGGTAGAGTACAGCAGTGGAAAGGGTGTTGTGCAATTCACTGCCGTAAATTGTTTTCAACTGATGCGCTTGTCAGGACTTTCCAAATTTGCCAAAAATACTGCCTTTGGGGGAAAAATGTCCCCAGTTGGAATAAAAATTCCAAATTACTGAAATTTGGATGGACAGGAAGAAGTACAATATTTTCTTTGGAAGCAGTAAAATTTTTCCACACCAGAAATACCTTGATGTGTCGAAACTGAAAGGAACTCCCTGGTCCTTGTCCTTGGGGAGCTGTAGCTGTGAGAGCTGGCAGCAGTGCGAGTCCTCTGCCCCACCATCCTGCCAATATGGTCAGGCAGCACTTCTGCTGTGATTCTCTTGCCAGTTACAGCAGAGAAATTCAGTGTGATGTTTCTTCTCCAGTAAGGTTTTTGGCTCTGAAACAGCCTATTTGCCATTGAAGCTGAGTTGCCGTAAATAAAACAGGAAAACCTGTGCAGGTATTTGTGTAAGAAATGTTTTTATTTTCTGGTGGAATTGCTAAGCATTGCTGTTGTTGGCAAGTTATTGTTTTTTGGTTTTGTGAAATATTTTCCCATTAAAACATTTTGACATTTCCAAGCAGTTACACATTTACCTGTCCTGGTTAAGAAAGGTTTGTCCTGCTAAACAAAGTAGGTTAATGAGCAGTATGCAGCAAGGCTGTAGTAGGAACAACTCAGTTACCCCATAGTAAACTTCAACAGTTTGAAAAAGTGTTTTGATAGAAGAAATATTTAGATTTTATTTCCCTAGTAGAGGTTGAGAGATTTTCAAATTCATTTTATTAGGGAGGTGGATGTTGAGATACAGACTCATTAGAAATGTAGTTACATGCCAAAAAGTTGTTAGATTTTTACAGCCCACAAGTTTGAAATTTAGTTAAAGTTCATAAATGAAATGTGGGGGAGGAGGGAGAAACTTGCTTTTCAAGCGCTTTTTTTTTTTTTTTTTTTCTAATGCTATGTAGTTAAAGGAAATGTCTGAAATACTTGACTAAGAAAAATTATATTTTTCAAAACTGTCAAGGTGCTTGTATAAATAGATGGGTAAGGTATAATTTAAAGTCTGGGTTTTCAACATAAAACATCCTCATAGTACATCTGTATAAGAAAATATCTAGGATATCCTCAAAGAAGTATTCTATCACTCAGTGAGAAGAAAGTATTGCAAGGTACAAGTGCACACACAGAAACCTACAGTAGATAGTGACCTGTAAATGCAAATCCGATTTTACTGGGCACCAGCTTTCCCATACAGAAGAAAAGTGAGATTGCTTAATGTTTTCCACATGACTTTTCAGTACTGAGTTTCCCGTTTAGTCTTCTGTTCACTTTTGTTTTAACAGTAAAAAAGGGACAAGAAGATTACTCCTCTTCCTCCTGACATTTGTTTTGGAACAAAGGGAAAGGGATTTCACAATTTCTGACTGAGGACACATGGATATGCTACTTTCTGGATTCTAGTTTCCCTTTTTTCTTCTTGTTTTAAACTAAGAATGAATGCCTAAATATCATATTTGTGTAGGAGACTTGTAGCCCAAATGTCCAAGAAAGCAAATACAAAGAATATATCATACTAGCTGGTGCTTGTCACCCTTTACTTAGCATAAAATACAGCTTTGTAAAAACTAAAGGTATATGGGTCAGATAACCATGGCCTTTTGGAGGGCTTCTGAAGCTATGAAAAATGATGGGAATCATGTGCTTTTCTAATGTGAATATAGAAACTGAGGTGATAAAGTGTTGAGATATTGCAGTATTTGTGTTGGAACTTCCATAGTCCCTGTAGTTTTTGGCAAGAATATTATTCATTTTCTTGAGTAAACTGCTGTTATAATTCAAGCAAATATTACTTCAGACATCTGTGGTTTTTCATGTGGATGAAGATATAGTATGGCGTGTGTTAAGGATTTTCATTTTCTAAATTGAATTTATTATTCTTATTAGGTCATCCTTGGCAAATACACCTGGCTTTCATATGAAGATGTATACATTAAAGCTGTTAATTTTGGAAATGGCTTAGCAGTATTGGGTCAGCAACCAAAGACTAACATTGCTATCTTTTGTGAGACTAGAGCTGAGTGGATGATTGCAGCACAGGCCTGCTTTATGTGCAACTACCAGCGTAAGTATGCGCCTTTTCTAACATTTTTATGTCTTTTGATCTTGCAACACAATCTGAAATAAACTTTTTTCTTACTTCACTTTATATAAAGCTTTCTTAGTATATAGAACATATAAAATTACAAATAAAAAATACTGCATATGGTAGAGACTGTGCACTTCATAGTGTTTATTAAATAGAGAAACCTGTATCTGTTTGCAGATGGAGTATGGTTTCAGTAAGTATAGTTTGCTCAGTGAATTTGAGAGGTTTATTTCCTTTTAATCTCAAATCAGTACAGATTTCTAAGTTTCTAAAAACAAACAAACAAAAATCACACATTAATTCATTGACTCGGTTTCAGGAGTTGACGTCAAACCTTCATCTTTTCCTGTAAGTTTTGTTTTAACTGTGTTTTGTCATTTCTTCAATTTTGATTTTGGTTAGAGTTTATCGTATTTGTTATCTATAAAAAGTGAAAAGGAGTAAGTCCTGACCTTATTTTGGAGACGTCTTTCTAATTAGAAAGTTACTTAGTAACTCCTTTACTAGTAAACTCTAAGTCGTTCCTTAACTCAAACCTTAGGCTGAGCTGACACATTTTTCTTAATTCTCTCTGCCTCTTGACTTTCTTATAGTCCGTTGCATATCATTTAATGCATCCTAATTTAACCTGGGTGCTGATTTGAGATTATGCTCAAGGGTAAGCTTGAGTCCAAGTTATTATTTCAGAAACCTTAAGACTATGTTTAGTTTTGGTGAGCTATTTAAAGTCATTCTCTGTCTCATTCATAGTATCTGTTTTAATCATACACTAACTGGATCCTTAACCCTGGCAGTGGACTTGAGACTAGGTTCTCTGCCCTGGGCAATACTCCTCATTTTCTCATGGAGTGACCATAAGAGAAGTGTTTTTTGTCTGATGACAGTCTTAATCCCATTCTGTAATTTCTAGTTACTGATCCTTTAGTCTTCTGATGTTTATTGTGGAGACCAAAAACTGTGTTGGGGCAGAGCTGAGTCTGCTCAAGGAGGAGGAGGTGCTTTCTTGGCAGAATGTGTGGACTGGGCAGTTACAGGCTCTGTTGGAGGTGCCTTTGAGGAGTAGCAGAACAAGACAGACTGGCTGGAGATGTCCTTGCACAGCTTTGCTGCATAGGGTAGAGACAGATGCAAAGCCAAGTTTACTTCCCTTTCACTCAAGCCATGTAGAGGGCCACAACTGTATCTGAGGTACATCTCTGCCACAGTGGGAAACCTGCTGTATACCCTAACCCAGTCCGAGCGTAGGCACAAGGGTATGTGTAAGAGCTCTAGGCCTGAGAAACCCATTGAGTGCTGATCTCAACTCAGTATAGGAGTTGTTTTTGCAAATGTCTGTTTCATCATCACTTCTTAATATGTCATTTACCTAACTGTAAGCTCAGCCTGGCTGGGTTCTGTGATGCTCTCAGGGGGATATTTCTCATTTTCCCACCAGGCACTCTAGAAGCTGCTTTTCCTTACCTGCTTTGGCCTCTTCTCTCCCATGCTACATTTTCTCTCCTTCAATAAGAGATGGGCTGTAAAAGCCAGATGTGCAGAAATTCCTGATTTGCTAACTACCTACACTAAAGATATATATCAGTTAGACTTTTTTCAGAATTTGGAAGCAAGCCTAACAAGCAAATTATATCTTAAATGGTCCCTCTCTGCTCTAAGCACGAGTCTGTTTCAGTTTGAGGAGCCATATGTTCATAAGTATAAAGCAGTTTTCATTTAATTAGGTCTTTACTGTTGGGTCTGAGTGCTTATTTTATGTATACCTTTACGCTGTATTGTTCCTTCAGTTTAAGGGTGGGATTGGTTACAGGATGTATTGCCATAGCCCCTACCCTTTCAAAATCAGCTTGCTTGCCTTGTGTGATAACTGGTTCTGTGGACAAGGAGAAAGTGGATGTTGTATACTGTGACTTGAGCAAGGCCTTTAACATGATCTCCCATAGATCTGTACAGCCAAACTATTCAGATAGACTGGATAAGTAGATGGTAAGATGGATGGAAAATTCATTGGATATTGGCTGAAAGGATTGTAATCAGTAGCATGAAGTTAGTTGCCAGCTCTCGGGGATTGATACAGAGTCCAATACTGTTTAATGTCTTTATTGAAGGCCTGGATGACGGGGCAGTGCAAACACATGAGGTCATAGCCTGTAGCAAGTTGGGGGGAGCAGCCAGTACACTGGAGGGCAGAGCTGATATACAGAGGGGCCTGTAAACAGAAAAAGTTGGTTGGTGGGAATCTTGTGGAGTTCAGTGAAGACAGTTACATATTTCTGTGCTGGAATATCTCATGCACCAGTGTAGGTTGGGGGACAGCTGGATAGAGAGCAGCTTTGTAGAAAAGGACTGGAAGGACCTGGTGAACAATAAGTCAACCCATGGGTATGTGTAGTGCCTTCTTGCAGCTAAGGCCAACATCATCATGGGTGGTAGTAGCATGAGTGTAGTGGGCAGGTGCAGGGAAGTGATCCTTCCCCCCCTTTTGGACACTAATGAGACCACATCTAGAGTACTGTGTCCAGTTTGTGGCTTCCCAGTAGGAAGAAAGACATTGACATACTGGAGCAAGTCCAGTGGAGGGCTGCCAAGATGCTGAAGAGGTTGGAGAACGTGACATATGAGGGGAGGCTGACAGAGCAGGGTCTGTTCAGCATTAAGATGAGATCTTGTTGCTGTCTAAAACTATCTAATGGGAGCGTACAGAGAAGATGAAGCCAGATTCAGCTCAAAGGTGTGTTTTGATAAGACTGGAGACAACAGGCACAAGTTGAAACATATGAAAAGTTGATTAGATGCTAGGACAAACTTATTTGTTGTGAGGGTGGTTAAATACCAGAATAGGAGCCTGGAGTGATTGTGAAGTCTCGATCCTTGGAGATACTTGAAACTGGACTGGTCATGGCCCTGAGCACTCTCGTTTTGTGCAGGTGATCTTCCCAGGTACCTTCCAACCTAAATTCAGTTATATTTTTGGTCCTTTCTTCAGTGAGTGACTGCTGTTGACTTGCCTACCAGAGCAGAAGTCTGCACAGGCTGTTGTCAGATGAGATGCCTGTGTTGCCTTTAAACTACATGTCTCATACCATGTCAGTTCTCTTTTATCACTTTTGAGATGTTAGATTCCTAGTGACTATCCTGGGAACAAAATGCAAAGGCTTCTATAAATTAATTTTCCTTTGGAAGTGAAGTACACTTACAAATCCTAGGAAGGTTTCATAATTTGAGGAAAAAAAAATTATCTGAGATAGTGGATGGATGTCGTGTGCAGAATGGTATGCATGTGTTTTTAGTTTTGTTGGATTAATGTTTCAAATTCCCTTACTGAGACGTGCTTCGGCACACTGTCTGACGTGGTATTTAGCATCTAAGCTGTATGTCATCTTATGTGAACTTGGCTGACTTGTGTGTTAGCAGATAATATTATCATGCAGTATTCGTGGTCTGTTTGCTGAATGAATTATAAAATTCAAATGATGTTGAAGTGTGGCAAGACATAGCTGAATGACTTATATTTAGCGTTTTTCAGTTTACAAGTTTCACAACAACTAACTGCTGTGGTAGTGTTGTGACATTCTTTCCAAATGGAAATGTATTAAATCTGATGGTATATGCCCAGAACTGATGTCAAGAGAGCAGGTTCATCTGCTTCATATGTAGCGTTGGAGAGAATGCCTTTTGTACTAAAGAATTAAAATGAAGAAAGTTTGTTTTGGAGTACTTGCACAAACAGGTAGTTTTATGATTAGAAATATTTACTTGATTGTAAATTTTACATTGTTTGAAGTTATCGGAGTCGTATTTGCAGGAGGTAGAGTGGGATTGCTAGTAAAAATAGAAAAAAAAGTACTAACATGAAAACGGGTTTTCTTCCAAAGTATCTCCTCTTCATCTGTGTGAAGAGCTCTTCACCACTGTGGACAAATAAAACACCTGAGTGCATAACCAAATAATGAAATAAATAGGGAAAGTTATGTTTCATTTTTCAGTCACGCCTTCCTGAAGCTTGAGCAGAAATGGTTTTGTCAGAACAGATTTGGCTAAAGCCTTTAAAGGTATATTTTGCTTTTTATTTTTGATTTATGATGGATGCCAGAATTACTCAGTTTAACACTTTGGTTACACTGAAATAAATGGCAAACATTCTATTAATTTCTTTAGGGCAAGTTTTTTTTGTATATAAGCTGGCAAGTTTAAATTTTCTGTTTGTCAGACTTCTAGAGCAGTAGTTCAGATATCAAAGACTCAGTTTTACTATTGCATGTGTAAAGATGAACACAAAAGATAATCCCTTCTCAGTATGTTTTCAAGATAATAAGGAGAGAAAAAAGTTACCTAAACTTGCCAGAAAAGGTTTAGGTGCCAGGGTGGAGAAGTGAGAATTTCATAGATCAGAGTCACTGCTCAGGTTTTTTTCTCTCCATGGTATCAGTATACCATCATATAAATGGTATCTCTCTCTTTCTGGTTAGCTCTGTCATATAGCTCTAAGTTGTCCTTGATGGACTTATTTGTGGATAGGTAATTCACTACATAAATGGTTATTTCAGAGATTATACTTTTCTTTCCAGGCGGTGTGTCGTTTTGGTTTTACTTGTTGGCTTGGGGAAACTGAATTTCTGCTAGATGTTTATATAACAGGGGTCACTGCAGTAAGTAGAGAGAGCTCGTGGGAACTAGCTCCCACCAAATTAAAGAAAACACAGTGCATGTGCATTTGCCCTGCAACAGTTCTGAACTATGATGGACTGTTTTAACAAGGAAAAAATAAGTAGAGGTCAACTATTTACTTTCTTGTGTAAGAAAACTGCTTTTGAGTTCTTCCTTAGTATGCTACACTGGGTTAGTAACTGCCTGGATTTCAAATCTTAGCATACAACATTCTTTGATTTTATTTTATTTTTTATTTTTGCTGCAGTGAACATAATATAGTTACAGCCATAATGTACAATGCGGTGTCTTATGTTTTTAAATATTCAGCTAAATACAGACTAAAATACAAAAGAAATTCAGATACCTAATGTGACAAAACTTCCAGCCCTGATGTAATTATTAATGATTGTGTTGATTTACCTTAGCTTTTTTGAGATATTCCTCTTCAGCATTCTGCTTGAAAAATAGGAAATTATTACTTTTTGCAATACCTTTCTTCCTTTTTGAGCTGCCTTTTTCTTCCCCAGTCTCTTCCTGTCTTTTCTCATGCAGTTTCCATTAAAATGGCAGGAAATTAAATATGATTTAAAAATTAATATAAAATTTTTGTGGTTTTAACACTATTGCTAATGAGCTATTGTTAAATACAGGAAATGTAATTTCTAATAATTTCCTAACTATTTTCTTTCCTTGTTATTCTGTATTTCTCATGATTTAAGTTCAGTGTCTAATGATTGTGATGATTAAAACTTCTGTGGTGGGTAGATCCTGGCTGGATACCAGGTGTACACCAAAGCTGCTCTGTCACACTCCTCCCCCCTCAGTAGTACAGGGGGGAGAAAATATAATGAAAGGCTCATGGCTTGAGGTAAGGACAGGGAGAGATCACTCACCAATTACAGTCACAGGGAAAACAGACTCGACCTGGGGAAATTAGTTTATTACCAGCCAAATCAGAGAAGGATAATAAGAAATAAAACTAAATCTTAAAACACCTTCCCCCCCACCCCTCCCTTCTTCCCAGGCTTAACTTCACTCCTGCCTTTCTCTTACCTCCTCCTCCCGCCCAGTGGTGCAAGGGGATGGGGAATGGTGGTTGTGGTCAGTTCATCGCATGTTGTCTCTGCTGCTTCTTCCTCCTCACACCCTTCGCCTGCTCCAGCGTGGGTCCCCCCCCCAGGCTGCAGCCCCTCAGGCACAGGCTGCTCCAGCGTGGGTCCCCCGCGGGGTCACAAGTCCTGCCAGGGAACCTGCCCCAGCGCGGGCTCCTCTCTCCACGGGGCCACAGGCCCTGCCAGGAGCCTGCTCCAGCGCGGGCTTCCCACGGGGTCGCAGCCTCCTCCGGGCACCCCCTGCTCTGGCGTGGGGTCCCCCCGGGCTGCAGGTGGGTCTCTGCTCCCCCGCGGCCCCCCTGGGTGCGGGGCACAGCTGCCTCCCCATGGGCTGCCCACGGGCTGCAGGGGAACCTCTGCCCCGGGCCTGGAGCCCCTCCTGCCCTCCTCCGGCACTGACCGGGGCTCTGCAGAGCTGCTGCTCTCCATATCCCGACTCCTCTCTCCTGGCTGCAATTGCTCAGTGGGTTTTTTCTCTCCTTAAATACATTATCCCAGAGGCGCTCCCGCCGTGGCTGACGGGCTCGGCCTGGGCCAGCGGCGGGTCCGTCCTGGAGCCGGCGGGCATTGCCTCTGGGGACATGGGGGAGGCTTCCAGCAGCTGCTCACAGAAGCCGCCCCCGTAGCCCCCTGATACCAAACCTTGCCGTGCAAACCCAATACACCTTTATTATGTTGTTTTAAATAGATGGGACAATATGATAGTCACAGCTTTATTACAGTGTGTGAGAATCTGCTGATGACATGTATTACAATGTTATAATAATTTCTTATTAGCAGTCAATTGTAAAAGGCTAGTAACAGAGCATGTAAATTCTGAAAAGAGAGGTCATGTAAATGAAAGCTCTTTTCTTTCTTGTGTAAAACAGGACTGTTAAACATTGTATTACACTGAGAACGGATGCCTACTTTTAAAATGGTAAAAGCTATGAAGGTATGAGAGTGGATCTAGAAGAGAATTACATAGCCTAATGTGGTTTTGGTGCCTATAGTTAGACCTTGATAAAAAGTAAACAGTCACATAGATGGCAGTTCTTTATTCCTTCATGGAGTAGCTGAAGATTATGCTGTATTTGAATCCATGTAATATATATTTTTCAAAACATAAAACTATACCACCTTTATGTTGGTTGACAGTTTGGTAGTTGGTTGGCTATTTTTACTGTGTTGCCAAACAGAATAGGTTAATCTCAGCCCTTTATTATAAACTAAACTTGAAAGTGTAACATAGAGATTCACTGTTTTTTTTCCCGCTTTGTGTTTCAGTTGTTACGCTGTATGCTACTCTGGGAGGCCCAGCAATAGTACATGGGCTAAATGAAACAGAGGTCACCACCATCATTACTAGTAAAGAATTGATGCAAACAAAATTGAAGGTCAGAAAACTGTTCTTTGTCTATCTCTTTCCAGTGTACCTGTTCATTGTTGTTAAAAAGCCTGGTTCCATTGTATAGAATAATGATTTATTGCCTTTCTATAGGGCAGACATGTCTTTTTAGAATAAGATTTATGTATCTGTCTTCATGTACAGAAAAAACAATAGTTAGCCTTCAGTAGGATTAGGCTCCTCAATGACTCTGGAGAACAGGATGAGCAATTTTCCCTGTTGAGGAGCTACACTGCTGCCTGGAACAATATCTTTACAAGAAACTACTGTGGTTTCTGGGTGGGTTTAATACCTATAAATTTAACAGTTGAAACAAATGAGAAGAACAGAGAAATGTATAAACTGTATATAAATAGCTAAACATGATAATCTTCCTGATTTATTGTTGGATGTTTTCCCAGCAGAGAGTGGATCTTAAATCTACAGGTGGGTGCTCAATGAGTTAGAGTTGTTCTCCAGTGCGGAGGAAAGCTTATTAAACATTAGAACAAAAGTTTTTTGACTTACTGACCCAGACTGGATGCATAAGTGCAACAACTAATCTGCATGAGTTTCATCATCATGTGTTCTGGGGGAACTAGGCCTTTCACATTAAAAACTGTGCTCTGTTGCTGAATTTTTGAATGAGAATTTCCCAAACTTTTTTTTTAGGTTGCTAGGATGAGAGTATATATACAATGCAAATTTATTTCAGCTTGCAGTAAGATAATTTCTTCTGTTATGATAATTACTTCTTCCACTAGAATATTGATAAATGTTTTAGAACTCACATTTTTGCTTGAAATGCTTAACTAATAATATTCTGTGGTTTTGCTAGCTGTTGCTTATTTTAAATAGAATAGTAATAATCAAGGAGCAACATAATTATTACTGTGAGCTCAGCATCGCCAGTTTCTCTCAGTGTTCTATGAATGTGGACAGTCAATTACCTCTACAAATCATTGCAGTCTTATTTGTGGGCTTTTCTTGAAATAAGACCCAGATCAGTAAATAATTGGAGAAGTTTTTGGACTTCTAAGTGGAAAGTTCAATCAGTCCTGCAGATCTACATGTGAAAGTTTCAAGTTTTGCAGGTGTTTGAGATAGACAAGTTTATCCTGATGGTTTAAATTATCAAGTATTTTATGTCAATATGTTTTTTTTGTAATGAATACAATAGATGTGGGTTTATTGTTGGGTTTTTTTTGTTTGTTTCTCTTGTTGGAACAACAAGATTTCTGACACCTGTTCATTTTCACAGGAAATTGTTTCTCAAGTTCCACTGCTGCGACATATTATTACAGTGGATGGCAAACCAACCACATGGTCAGAATTTCCTAAGGGTGTCATTGTTCATACTATGGCTTCGGTACAAGCTATGGGGGCCAAGGCAGGTACTGGTAGGTTATCTCTTCTTTTTATTTGGATCATCTCATTTGTTGTCCTACTTTGACCCTGTTGAATAGACTTGTGGAAAATGCAGATCTCAAGAAGTTATGCAGTGATTAACCTTTTATCTTCTGCTTTTTCTTTAAATAAAATCTGTGGGGTTTTTTGCTTTGATTGTGGTATTTAAATAGCCAGTTAAATCCAATAGAACCTAGTCACTTTTATTGCATTTCTGAAATTATCAACCTAGTGTGTAAATTTCTTGGAATCTATTTCCAGTCTCTGTAACAGTTTTAGAATTAAAATTCAGAATTTCAGAAGGCGTTTTAACTTTTATCATAACAAATTGTTATTCTTGGCTCTGAAAAGCTGCTAAACCTAGTATCTTAAGATTTCATTATATTCAGTAGTCGCTTCCTTCTGTTCTCATTCTTTGTGTTTTCAGAATCTTTTAACCACTGAAGACACATATGAATGTTGGATTGGATTTTATTTTAGGAGTAGGGTGGGTGGTTAATCCATCTGCTGTTGATGTTTAGGGGAATGACAGGTTTGCTCCCCACATCGTGACCTCTCAATTTCTTTAAAAGGTGGTTTGCCGGTTTTGATGTACCAGTTTTATGTACTCTTAAAACTGTTTCAGACAACACAAAAAATTAGCGCTATAATTCATTAGCTTCTTCAGATTTATTAATCTATATGCTATTTGAAAAGCTGTATAATCCTTTCTTTAGTCTCTTAAATATCACATATATATATTTTTAGGTATACACTATAGTAAAGGAACATCATTATCTTTATCAAGTTAACCATTCATAAATTGTGGACTCCTACAATGAATTGTTTATGGCTAAGCATGTTCAATTAATACGATATTAAGTATTAGCTGCTGCTTATGGTTTTTTTCCTCTGTTGTTTATTGTGCAGGATTCATTGATTGGGAAACTATTAAATATGCTTTCACTCTTCTCATTCCATGTGTATATTGTGCCACATATATTGCACATTATGCAGTTTTTCCTCTGAATAAACACAATTGGTTTTGTGTCATCTTGCTCTCAGAGCAAGTATTAAAAAAAAAACCCACTTAAAACTACTGAACTTTCTTTAAATATTTATAGAAATTAGACCTCATGTTTGCTCAACAGTGTCTTGCTGCAGGTGTTGCAAATGAGGCAGCGTGTTGTTCCCCTGCCAGGGAGCACATGAGACAGTACCTTTGCAAACAGGGATTGACCCTGTGGCAGCATGGAAACAGTGCAGTGTCCCTTCCTAGGGGTGTGAAGCTCAGTGGCATTTTAGAGGAGCCAAAGCTCAGCCCATCTTTCTCTCCTCTGCAGGAATATGGGAAACATAATAGGAAAAGTGTTGCCATGGTAGACTAGGACAATCACTTCAAGTATTGCTCAGCTAATACAAAGAAATTCCTACTCTTTGTGAAGACACTTAAGCTTGACCACGAGCTTTTCAAGGGAAAGCAAAATGTAATAGAAATAGTCATGTAGTATTATATTGGAATGACAGCTGAAATATGTTAGTATATCAGATCTCCACATCTGATAGGCACTCCACACATTATACATTCTCTTTTTTTAACACAAATTACAGGAAACAAACCACAGGCCCGGCCTGCGCCCTCGGATATTGCAGTGATCATGTACACAAGTGGATCCACAGGAGTTCCCAAAGGAGTTATGATCTCCCATTGCAACATAATTGCTGGGATAACTGGAATGGCTGAGAGGATTCCAAATCTGGGGTATGTACCAACAGTTGCTTACTGTCAAATAAAGAATTGTGTAGGTGTGTGTAATTTTAGATTAATTACTGTCTAAAATATTAACTGTTTTATGTTGCTTTGTGACAAATCATACTATGCGCTGATGTCTAAGCATCTTCCAGTACTGCATTAAATGACATGACTGCTACATGTGCAGTTTGTTCTCTCTCTCTTATTCACACATCTTCTGTGTGTGGGCAAGACCAGGACACAAAAGCCTGTGAGGCCACCTTGCACTGGAGTGGTTGAAAGCTTTCCTAAGCAGTACTTCCTTTGGTTAGCGTTAAATTCTGTGGTTTCTTTGTTTGGTGCAGTTTTTAATCTTGTCCACATAGTTGCCTTTGCAACACACAGTTAATTGTCGTGGGATGAGTGACAATCACTCTTTGTTCGTGCCTTAAACCTGCAGTATGTACTGTGCAACTTTTGAAATAAACCCCATATTATTTGAAATATGTTCTCAAGCTCAAAGGCTTTTTTCCACTGTTCTGCAGTAAGCTTTGTGTAAATTTAGCTTAATGACTCATTTGAGGACTCTAATGGTACAACACAAACCTATCTTTTAAAAATTCTTAACAGGGAAAAAGATGTCTATATTGGCTATTTGCCTCTTGCCCATGTTCTGGAGCTGAGTGCTGAGCTTGTGTGTCTGTCTCATGGATGCCGCATTGGTTACTCTTCACCTCAGACATTAGCTGACCAGGTATGTTGTAGATGTAAGTTATGTTAAAAAAAAACCCCTTAATTACTCACACCAGTTCTTTGTAATATTTCTTTAAAAACAGTGCAACAAATCTTCTTTCTACAATTCATGAAACAGGGTATTGGTGGTTATGACTGGTACTCTGGACTAGTTTTAATTGTTAAAATATAATTTAAATGAAAATGATTGTTTGAAAGATGTGCTATGTCACTTAGTTTCTCATGTTAAAAATCTTGAATGTGTCTGCTAGTAAACTTGTTCTTCACTTTAGTCCTCTAAAATAAAGAAAGGAAGCAAAGGTGATGTTACCACACTTAAGCCAACCCTAATGGCAGCTGTCCCGGTAAGTAACTGAATTTTAAAAATTATTTTAAAATATAATTCAAATTTTCAATAACAAAATTAATGCAATGTTCATTTAAATAAAGAAGGTAGAACCTTTGATGTTAAAGTAGCTTAAAATAATATTTTGGGTGTTTGTATGTTAGAGATAAACTTTCATCATACGAGTGTCAACATTTTCAAAGTTTAAATAGCTATGGGTATTAGATTGCCATTTTAATTAGTCGTCTATTGCTCATCATCATAAATAAATGGAGTAAAGATAGTTGGCAGCAGGCAGCTTGTCGTTAACTAGTGCTCCTGCTCAGATGTTTTATTTCCTTTTTTGTGTGAACATCTTGCTATCTCTTAGCAATAGAAGAGGAAACAACCTGGGAGTGGGATGTCATCTGAAACTTACTAAAATTTCTAGATCATGTTTCCTTTTTGTCGTACTAAACTTAGGATTTCTGTTTCTTTGAGTTAAAGTTTATCTTTTTATGTAACTAGGAAATTATGGATCGTATCTACAAAAATGTCATGAATAAAGTGAATGAAATGACTAGTTTTCAGCGGAATCTATTTATATTGGCCTACAACTACAAAATGGAGCAGATTTCCAAAGGTTACAGTACCCCACTCTGCGATAGGTAATTTTATTTTCACTGGCACCAAAAAACCCGCTTATGTTTTACCACATGAGCAGTATCTCACTTATTTTTGTTGCTTTTCTTTGTTTTAATGTTGACACTTTGAACGTGAACAAGTCTCTAATTAATTGAAACAACAAACAAGTTTGTGTGATAAATTACCAGTAAATATATAAACACAAATGTTATAACTCGAAACTGCTAGGAGTTTTATATTAATTGTGTTATTTTAATCAGGACTTTAATAATGGATTTATGCAGTTCTTGTGTAAGATGGAAAGTCTACTGTAGATGGCTGTAGACTTAACGTTTTCACAGAAGTGAATCATGTAATATCTCAAGTTGGAAGGAACTCTAAGGATCGCTGAGTCCAACTCCTAACTTTAGTGAGACTTCAAATGATAACATAAGTGCAGAATTTATACAGCTTGTTTAAAGTATTTTTGAGGAGAAAAATCACAGAACTTTACTGTCTTAGTAAATCTAAGTTCTCAAAACATTTAATCCATATTCAAATTAGAATGTGGAAGAAAGCTTAGAAATCTGTGCTTGTGTTTTTGAAAACTTAAATGTGCTCCTTCAAAGTTTTCCTTGAATGCCATAGAGATGTATTTGAAGGTGGTGGAAACTTTCAGTTTAGATACAAAATTCAGTGCGCTCTTGTTTTGGTTTTAAGCAACAAATACATACTCTTATATTTGTGTTTTAGCCTTATTTTCAGGAAAGTACGACTGCTGCTAGGTGGAAAAATTCGCATCCTGCTTTGTGGAGGAGCTCCGCTCTCTGCAGCAACTCAGCGGTTTATGAACATTTGTTTCTGTTGCCCTGTAGGACAGGGGTATGGATTAACTGAATCAGCTGGAGCTGGCACAATCACAGAAGGTTGGTGTCAGTGCATCCCGCTGTGTGCTGTGGTCTGTGCAGAGCTCTCTGCATGTACCATCTTTGACAGTCTCATTATTTGGTGTATGCCACCATACATAATTGAGGAATACAGAGAATTACTTGTAATCATAAATGTATAAAACAGTAGGACTACCAAGTTTGACACATTGTGCTAAAGCTGGTGACCTACGTATAAAATGGATGTTCTCATTTGCGACAGCGAAACCTGTAATAGTGTGAATGGGATTTGGCATTATTGCACTTACCAGTTGAACTGAATAAATTATTTCTAATTTTGGTGAGTATATTGAGACATTAGGAAAATAAAAACTGGAATACAAAAGCCTGCACCAGATTTCAATTTCATATAGCAGAATTTAATGGTTTCACTTGCCTTTTAGTCCTAAAGTTTCACTCATATTCAGTGGTGGCAGAAATGGTCAGAGCTTCTATTTTTTGGCAATGGTGTGATCTACCTAGGAGTTGTATCTGAGGTTCCTTGCTAGATTATGCTGAATTGTAGAACAGGTACTGTGTTCCTTTGTGATAACACAAACTGCTGTGATGTGGTTTTTATTCCAAGAAGTCTTTGGAAATGGCTTCTTCAGTAGCTTGGGAAAAAAAAAAGTGGAACTGTAATACAAGTGATGTAGTCTCCAGTGATGCTCTTTTGGTAAGGTGCCCAGATGCAGAAGTGTTTGGGATTGAGACTTCAGGAAGGTGAATCAAAATATAGAATCCCTGAATGGTTATGAAATATTGCTACTTATTTCAGAATTCAGCAAACACTAAAATTGTTGTGCCACTTCTGAAGCGTGATCCACATGGACAGTTTACTATCAAAGCTGTGTCAATATGACTAAATACAGCCATCTATTCTCTTTGCAGGATAAGGATTTTACCTGTATTACCTTGATAACTTCGAAGAGAACCAATGAATCTATGTTCTATGAATTAAAGTTCAAAAACAAGTAGCAGTTAATTTTCACTAAATAAGATGCATGACAAGAAAGATTTTTTTTCTTATCGGTTTTGGTAAATTCTTCTTCTGAAAAGTGCTATTTTTTAAATTCTAGTTTGGGACTACACTACAGGGAGAGTGGGAGCACCTTTGGTCTGTTGTGAAATCAAGTTAATGAACTGGGAGGAAGGTGAGAATTTATGTGATCAAAGTATACTGTATTTGTAAGAACTTTATATAGCTATTTTTCTAGTGGGCTTTGCTTAGTGGTAGTAATTAGAAGATTATTTCTTGGCTTTCTCAATTTTAAATGCTACTTCTGCCTATAAAAGTTTGATCTTGGAGGAGAAATATGGTAAAATAAATCCCTCAGTGTTTTTTAAACGTACAAATATCTAGATGGAAGCTATCAAGGCAAGTGACATTTTGACTAGGTTGTATTATGACACTCTGGCTATACTATCTCTTTTATTCCAGTCACTGTGATTGTATATGCACATTGTATAAATGTATACAGCACTGTACCTCTTTCTGCTTTAGGTAAGTATTCTTGCAGGACAGGGTGCAGGTCTTGTACGTTGTGTCTTAGAGGTGCTGGATTCAGGAGACTTCAACTGAAGTGTATACCATTGAAAATTATTTTAAAATAGTCTTAATATTAATAAAATAATATAAAATTGGAATATGGAATAGAAACTTAATGGGTGCTATATAAAATATATTTAATGAAGCTTGAAATATATTTAAGCATTTTCCTTTCACTATAGGCTTTTATGTATTGTACAGTAGAAATAATACTTAGGATGTTTTGGGCTAATATGAAACCGTATAGTATTTTTTCTTGCCTAAATTTGAGGCAAAATTTATATATATTTTTATTTGAACCTGTATGAAGCTGTAGAGGTGGCATTTGCCCTTTGTGTGTGTGTGAATTTCACTGTTTGTAAACACACAGGCTGATTAGCTGTTTATATGTTGAAAAGAATTGGAACCACCTCTTCTCTTACTGAACTATTTGGTAACAAGTGGTAAATTCAGCTAAGGACTTACTGAAGTGTTTAGTTCTATATTTAACTAGTAAAAATAACAGGAATTCTTGCTTTGAATGTATTTTAATTCTTGTTAATAAAAACTGTACTTTTAGGTGGATATTACAACAGTGATAAACCATATCCTAGAGGTGAGATTCTTATTGGAGGGCAAAATGTGACTGTGGGCTACTACAAAAATGAAGTACGAACCAAAAAGGATTTCAGTGTTGATGAAAATGGGCAGAGGTGGCTCCATACTGGAGACATTGGAGAGTTTCATCAGGATGGATGTCTAAAAATTATTGGTGAGTTAATAAATTCAGGTGAACATATATATATATATATATATACACACACACATATATATATTTTTCAGGGCTGATAAATACTGTAATTAACCAAAAATCTACATGTCTTGGCATGCAGTCTGAAGCCCCACCATGTATCCCAGGGAAATTCTGATATGTTAATATCAATTTGATTGTGTGTTTTTAAAGCTGTTTTTTAAAACAATTGCTTCCTTTTAAAACAGTCTTAATATTGACTCCACGCTGTTAGTGAGGCTGTGTAGTAATTAGTTAAATATAAGCTAACAGGGCTAGATAAGCTGCCTTACATTTTATAATTTTATAAGTAGAGAATTTGATTGAGTGAAAGGGCTTTTTTGGTAATATGTGCTCAGGATTAAATAAGCCTTTTTTTAATCTTTCCATTCTTTATAATCAGAATGTCCCTTTATCATAAAGGAACTAGGGGAAAAATATATTAAGGTAAAGGTGTTATACATAACCCTGTGACAGGCTCATAATTCTTTGACACCTGCAGACACAAAAATAGGTGCCCTATAAACTATCAGGTGTCTCTCTTGAAGTCAGTGGATGATTCAGGGTGCTCTTTAATCCTGAAAACTAAGCTTATCTGGTTTATTTTTTGAGAAGAATCATAGGTCCCATTGCAGCTGCCTTGCACTGGTCAAATATGTCAGCTACAAGACTGCCTTGTCTGGTTGCACAAAGCAGCAGGAAGGTGTATAACAAAGGAGAGGTACTCCTGGCTGCCATCACAGAGGGGTGGGTAAGGCCTTGTAGTCAGCTTTGACTTCTTTGGGGCTATATACAATAAGCTCCAGTAATTTGGGCTTTGTTTGCGGTTCCTATTGTTTCATATAACAGGTGGACAGTTGCTCTTTAAATACAGATTTAGCCTGGGAATAAATAACAAAAAGTCACCAAATGGTGCATCTCCTGCCTTAGCGTCTGGACCAGACAGCACAAATTGTGTGCTTCTAGCCAAACACTGTTTTTTGCATAATCCTAGTTATCTTCCATTCACATGACAGTGCTACAATATATGAAGCGCTGTTCTAAAGGCAGAAAATTCATAGAATTGAAATGTATCTTGTTTTTATGTGATGGACAGATTGATTAAATGCAAGGTCTGGAAACCTGGTATTAAATGTTTCTGGTACATTCACCAAACATGAGTCAGCTTACCTTTTGGCACTTATACATATATTTACAAAAAGTATAAAATCAGTGACTAAAGTTTTGTGTTCTGTAATTAAAATTTAATTCCTTTTTTCCTCAATAGATCGTAAAAAAGATCTTGTAAAACTCCAGGCAGGAGAATATGTTTCTCTTGGCAAAGTAGAAGCAGCTCTAAAGAATCTTCCACTGGTAGATAATATTTGTGCATATGCAAGCAGGTAAGAGGCAGCTGATACTTTGTTACTGCTGTATTCTTTGTCTGTCCTACTGAAGCCATAAGCAGAATTTTTTGTTGCTGAATGTGTGGAATGTTATAAACCAGTTGAAACAGTATTTTACTTACAATACAATGGAGTAATTTCCCTCTATCAGAATTAAACCAGCTGAAATGTTTTATTTTTCCTTTCCCGTTTTTTCATCATTCATTGGAAACTGCCAAGAATGAGTCTCTTCCATTCCCTTTCTCCCAGTCTGAAAAGCAGTTACATGCTGACTGCATTCATAACAGACATCACTGAAGTATGTTAGAGACTATTACCTGTAGAAGCCCTAGGACACCTTGTTCCTTGCTGGTTTTAGCTCTGACCTGACCTGTTCTTCAGAGGAAGTACTGCTGCCGTTCAGAGGAAGTACTGTTATACTTTAGAGAAAGGTGGGGAGAAAAAATCACCAACAGCCTAGAAGCTGGCTTGCGCATTAAAAATACTTTAACCCCTGCAGTACACCAGCAGAAGCCTTGAAGCTTGAGAGAAAATGCTCAGTAAAGTCTATGCAAACACACAATTAATAAATTAATAAATGATGGTCAAATGTCCTTTCTATTAGCTTTTCCCGTGTACTAGTAAATTAGGTATGTCAGGACTGAAACATGTCTTAAGTTTCTATTTCTAGAATTTCTTACCCATGCATAATATAGATTTACATGTATAAATATACTTCAGGTGGTCTTTGTTTCTTGTTGTCACTTTTGATGTTTGGAAGGTCATTTTGAAGCTTCTGAACAATCAGACTCTGATTTCGAGTACAGCAAAAAAAAGCCTGACTTGCTAACTTGAAAAAGGCCAAGACAAGCATACCAGAGAATTGCTCAGTGGTAATAAATACAAAATTAACTTTTGGTTTGTTCACCTGGTTCTCTGTGGTATTTTTATGTGTTAACTAATGGTAGTAATCCTGTAGCTTCCCTTTTGACAGGTTTGGATTAATAGGGTAACATGCATTGGGTATGCCACTGCTGAGAAAACTTCTGTTATATTAAGCTTTATTTGTGGTTTTGACCTGTTGGGCAAGTGTCATCTTTGCTTGCTTTGACTGTCTGAGGTTATGTGCCTGTTCTGACTGCCCTCTGTAGTCTGTGGAGAAAAAAGGTTCCTACAGATGGTGATTTCTGCTGTTCTAGGATTGAAGTTCACTATTGGAATTGTACTATCAAATTTTGTGTTAATTTTGCCAGGTCAGCATAACGTTGGAGGCTAAAATGCACTTGTCAGACAGGCACTTGACTCTCATAGTTTGTGTCTTGTCTATTACATAAAAATAGGAAAACCTGTGAGCAGTTTTTAAAGGCAGTTTACAGAGTCCAAGTACATTCCAGATTGTTTTTTATGTGGCTGCTGTATTTTTTCTTAATACTTTCATGTGTGTAATTTAGCATAAGTAGCCCTGTAATACAGATTCTCTGAATGATTGTCCATATGCACATTTCATTGTGGGTATGTACTCAGCAGCATGAGCTCGGAGATTTTGTTTGCAGTGCCTATGACCTTTCTTATATCCTGTCTCTCCTTATTTTTGCCTTGGTGGTCTCATATGCAAGAGGGGTCCTTCATTCATTAGTAGCTTTTCCATCTTCCACGTATAAAAGGACAAGGAGGGCAGACTTTTACAAAGTGGTTAAGTCTGTGAGCTTAGATCTTGGGATGCAAAGCTCCTCTGAGCATGGTAGCAGGGAATCAAAAGTGTTTGAATGATATCGCTGCTTCAAAAGCTATTTAAATTGACCACTTCAAACAAAATGCTCAGTGAGATAAGCAGTAAAATGTTTGCTGAAAGGAATCATGAGCAGAGCTCCTTCAGAGGAGACTCCTACTGCTGTATCAGCACTTCACCCATCCAAAATGCATTCAGGAGGTCTCAAGCATCACATCAGGAAAATGAGTAGTTCAGTTACCTGAGGAATGAACAAACATGGCAAAGAAACGAAGGGAGTTCTCAGCAGGAAGCTCAAGGAGAACCAATAAAGACCAGGCCTTACAGAATAGAAATGGTGATACAGACATGTAGCGCCGTTATATGTGCCTTTTACCATAGGTCTGAGGGCCATACTCGGGTAGGATCTCAAGCACAACAAGGGAATGAAGATGCCTAGTGTAAGATACACATTTCGGCAATATTTCTTAGCATGGAGGAGATAGACGTCAGGACCTCTCCTTATTCAAATTCTGAAAATGTCTTTTCTTCTTACTGCTATTATGAAGAAGCTAGCATATTCAGAAGATCTGTAGAAGAAATATAGTGAGGAGAAGTAACTGCTTCAGAGAGAAGATACAGTCTTCAAGATGCTTCTCAAGACAAACAGTGTTTTAGCATTTGAACTGCAACAAGTGAAGGTAGAACTTAGTGGTACAGAATGAAAAGCTACACATTCCAGGAGCTGTAAGTTCTAAGGTGCTCTTGCTAGGAAAAAGCATAGTTGGATGAACCCTTTTGTCCAAAGGAAGTATGCTTCTACTCAAGAGGCTGAATTTTAGATGAATCAAAGTTTGAGGCTTACCCAGCCAACTGATTACTTGTATATACTACTTATCCCTTGAGGCACTGGTGGTATTGCTGGATGTGACCTTAAGCATATCAAAAGTCTGCAGGAACCAGGGATGAAAGCACTGGTCCTTTGTGTTGTGGATGCCTTCATACATAATCCACACACATTACAGAGTAGACCCTAGATCAAGTTACAAGGGTGCAGTACAGAGTTTACCATGAGTCGGGGGGAGGGAGGGGGGATCAGAGAGAGGCAAAGACAGAGGGTGAGATGCAAGCTGTGATACTGGGGTTAATCTGAAGTACGTACATTCTTAATAAGAGGAAAATGAGAATGGTTTCAAGTCAGCCAATAGGCAAAGCTTGTTGACAGATAATGCCAGGCAAGCCTGTATTTGTAATGGACTTCTGTGCAGTCTTCACAGCTGCTGTCAGATGCCCATTATAATTCATACCAGTAACAAAGGAAAAATTGTGATGTACAGTAACCAAAAGGGTATTGTAAAGTTAGTATTTTGAAATTATCTTGGAGACTTTAAAGGATAAGCTAAAGCTATCTCCATACCAGGGTTAAGGTTCTATATTTTTGCATTAATGATCTATCTGGTGAGGGTTGAAAAGATCTAATAAATCTGTAGTTGGTTAAGGTGGTACAGGACCAAAGGTACAGTGGAGGACAGGATTAGAATTCAGAGCAAGCTTGACTAGATAGAGATTTTCTTGAAAATAGCAGTCAGTTTAAAGAGGGGAGATATAATTACACCTAAATAAACTGCAAAACTACAGGATGAGGACCACCAGCTGGTAGCAGTTCTGTAGAAGCTGACATGAGTCAACAACTCCCATGCTGTTATAAGAAGGTAAATAATATGGCATAGTCAGATGTATAGCCTGTGATATACACAGTGATCTTTGTGCTCTACCAAGCATTAAAGGGTCTGAGTTCCACATGCAATGCCTCAGAAAAGGTGAACCTCTTCAAAAGAGTCCAGGAGAAAAATGGGAACACCTGGCCAGAGATCTCTGATACATGACTTAGCAGGAAAGGACAATGCTTAAATTCCTAAAGAAATTTAAGAAAGGAAGGAAGACTAGAAAGATGAGAAGAAAAAAAACTAGTAACAGTCTGTGAACAAATCAATGGCTTCTGTGGAAACGAGAGGAACATCTGACTAATGGCTGTATGAAAATACAGCTAATGCAAACTGCAGAGAGAAAGAGTCAGGAGTAGTCATCAGAAACAGCTTACCAGTGCTAAGAATAATGAAGCATTTGCATTAACATTTGCCTAACGTTTAAGAACAGGTTAGACAAACATCTGTTAGATGCAGCTGACCTTGCTTCAAGGCAGGTGAGTGAATTAGATGATCATCCAAGATTGCTTTCAGCTCTCTGATTCTGTGATCTGCCTTGTTAGAATGTGTAGAGTTGCCACGTGAGGTTCGTTCATGTTTTCCCTAAGGTTTACACCATTTGAAAAATTTTAAATACCTGTTTCAGTGTGAATTGTGCTTCAGTGTTTTCCAAAGACTTTGAGATCACAGCTTCGTATGTTCTAGGCATACCAGGAGCAGACAAAGATTGCCAACACTAGAGTGAGCGTATGGACAATCACTTGAAAGAGAAAGAGAAGCCACTTCCCTTACAGAAGCAGGCGTCCTTTGAGATGTGTTGTGCATATGCTCATTCCACAACCTGCTCTCCAACCCCTCTTCACTGCAGTCCTCTGCTCCTCTACAGTAACTGGATTCTGCAGTTGAGAGGAAACTGAGGTAGGGAAGCCGCACACCAGTCTTCATACCGGGAAGCAAAACATGAGGAGAGGCAGGGCGCATTGACATCGTATGGGTACTGCTTCCCCAAAGCTTTGAGCATGAGACACAGTGGAATATGCATATGGACAGCACACCTTGAAGCAATCCAGTTGCTGTAAGGTAAGTAGCTTCTCTTTCTACTTACTTTTATCAGGCAAGGGTAATTTGTGTACTACTTCAGAAAGATTATCAGGTGAACAAAAGCCAACTGTTAAGAGCAATATCTCTGTGTGAAGTGCAAGCCCCTCAACTTGAAATGTTATTTTGGAAGATGTGTTAACTTTACAAAATTCATACTAAAGTACATTATACTTCTCAGTTTCCATTCTTATGTCATTGGATTTGTTGTGCCAAATCAAAAGGAGCTTGCAGAACTAGCTCGAAAGAAAGGATTTAAAGGAACCTGGGAAGAGATCTGTAATAGTCCTGAGATGGAAAAAGAGGTACTGAAGGTGCTAGCTGAGGCTGCCATGGCGGGTAAGTAGCTGGGTAGATAGTATTAATTTTGTGAATTGTAATGTCTGTGAAACAGATAAAAATATGTCCTTGGGTGTATATATTTCATAGAATCTGTAGAAAGTGAAATTTTCATGAAAAAAAACCCCAACAACAAAACATGACTCGGGTCAGTCCTTTTGGTTCATGTAAATTTTTTTTTTTTTTTCCCATGGCCAAGAGCTGAGGAAAGAAGATAAAACCAGGGCAAACTTAACAAACACTCTGTGTGTGGCACTCTTTACAATATCCTGTAGCATCTTTTGCCCTTAGCTGCTGCTCCAAAAGAATATGGGTCATCTGTAGATCCATGATATGTGTGTTGGATATCCTACAGTCTCCCATGCTACATATCTATGTCTAATTGAAATAAGCCCATGGTGACAGGGGCTCTTCTAGCTTCCAGTGACTTGCACCTGAGGGGTTTCCTGAACATGAAAGCAGGGACTTTGTAGTTAATAATTTTCAGTAGACTTTTCTTCCATTAACTCTTCTAGATGCGTTTTGAAGCTATGTAAATATTCTGCCTCAGTAACCGTACTGTCTTGTGGCAGAGTTGCATAGCTCAGCTGTGTTCGTATGAAGAAATGCCTCGTTTGTTTTTACCCTGCCATCTGCTAGTTTAGTTTGGTTCTGCTGAGCTCTTGTATGGGAAGAGGCAGTGAATGTTCACAATGGCAGTCATGACTTTTTTCAGTGTCTATTATACTTCCTCTTCAGCTGTATCTTTTTGTGCTAATTGGTTGTAATCTATTTAGCTACTCCGGTGCAGAATTAAACAGTGGTACAGTGATATTTTGTTCTTCCATAATAATTTCTGCCTTGTTTTTGCTTTTGACCATTACTAAGCAATGAGCTTTTTTCATAAAGCTGTCAGTTATGACAACAGAATTTTTTTAAATGGTCTTTGTGGATGTTAAATTTCTTTTTTGTATGCATTGTCTTTTATACTTTTCTGCAATTAATGTTTTCTGCTGTCTGTTTTGCAATTACTCAGTATCATGATGTCCCTTCTGTACATCTTTGCAATTTATCCTGGTCTTTTCTACCCTGGATAACTTCATGCTTCTGACAATCTTTGTCTTGTTAATCTTTGTCTCTTCTACATATTACTTGCCAATATATTAAACTCTGATTAGTATAGTTGCAGACATAGAGGATCATACTTTTAGGATGCGTGCAGTCTCAGTACTGCAACAGACTTTTTTTCCTTGCCCCATGTCTCGTAGTCCATTTTTATTCACTGCCTGGAGCGTAGGGGCAAAGTCATTCTAAGAAGCTGCTGCAATGGAGGGCATGTCAAAATCGCTTTGCTTTTCTCTGCAGCACTAACTGTTCTAAAGAGAATTAAATATGCTGTTAAAATTGATGAAATGGAGTATTTAATCCTGAGGCATTTTTACACATTTTGATGTTATGTTTTTGTTTTTCACTTTAGTATCATAGGCTTTACTTTTAAAGTAATACTATGATTTTTAGTGATAAATTGCAAAAAAACCACCCCCACCCAAACCCAGTGATTTAATGTCAAGGGGAATAAAAGGCACAGGAAAATCTAAAAATGGCAGGTTGCACAGCATAATTATACATTTATGGATTATTTTTTATTTAACCTGAAAATAGATTTATTTTTTTATTATTGCCCATCTGTTGATTACTTTTCTTAGTTGTTTTTCTTCTCTTATGTCTGAAACCATAGCAGAAGCTCTTGCAAATGATAGTGTTTCGTGCTAGAGGTATAAACTGTTCTGCTTCAGTAAGGGGAACAGCTACCATATGAACTGATTTCCCTTGAGCAATTTGGGGCCATCAGGAAGAAACACAACCCTCCACCCCCGTTTTTCAAGCTTAAGTAGTATGGATTTTACGATTTTTCTCTCCAGCAGATGAGTATCATAACGCCGATACAACAGTGTGTATTTTGAGGATGTCACTTCCATGCACTGAGGCTTTTCTGTAGTTAGGGAGCAGCAGGGATACCCAAAGAGCTGGGCCTTATTTCATGTTTCTGTGGAAACTGGAGAACAGTTATGGGTGGATCCTGTTACTCTACTTGTGACCACAGGGAGGGGGGTGGGGGTGTTTGAGGAACATTTCTTCATTTATGTCATGTGCTTTTCTGTGTGAGGATACAGTTTCTCCTTTCTGCTTAATTGTAGAAAAATGGTTACATTTATGTTTTATATTAAAAATGTTTATTTTTACAGCTAATTTGGAGAAGTTTGAAATACCAGTAAAAATTCGTTTGAGCCCTGATCCTTGGACCCCTGAGACTGGTCTAGTGACAGATGCATTCAAACTAAAACGCAAAGAGCTTACAGCATACTATCAAATGGACATTGATCGAATGTATGGAAAAAATGTAAAATAATTATTTTTTTCTGCACCACTTTGCTACAATGAGCTTGGATCAAATAGGAAATACTTGAATTGCCTGTCTCAACACTTGAGATCAACACACAAAACCACCATTCCTCATTTTCATCTTAAACTGTTATTTCTGATAACATCACCATGATGACTGGCAAGTTTAGTAAAATGTTATGGCAGCAAACTTGTGTCTGTCTCCTTTTTTCCAGTTTTCTCTGCTACCTTGTCAGTCTGTGGATTTCCAGAGTCTTTTTGGGAAACCATGATTCTGAAGCCTCAAGTTTTTAAACATTTATAAATTCTGTATAGTTTTATTTGTATCTTTAAAATTTGGATGTATATAGAGATAACTTGGCTATATAAGAAATGGTTATACTGGGGGCCTTTTTTTACATAATTATTTAAAGATAAGGAGGTATTGATGTTGTGACATTATGTACATTGAAAATGCTTGTAACAAGATCATTGTTGAACAGAGGACCAGGTTATTTGCTGCTGTGTTGTTTTTCTGTGTAAATTTGAGGGAGAAAATGTTTGACATTCTAGCTTGTGTAATACACCTTCAATATGTGCCTAATGGTTACTTTTATTTTTATCTGAAAAAGAGAAGATGGTCATGGCACAGCTCTGCATAAAGGCAGGTACTCTTGCAGGTGTTAGTTAAAGCTCATTTAATAGAAGAGATGATATTAACACAGTAGAAGTTAAAACTAAGGATAATCTCTCAAATACAGAAACTCCTTTTTTAAATAGCTCATGACCATTTCATCCAGTAGTTGAATTGTGTAGGGCTAGTAAGAACTCTCAGCTTTAATTTCACTTAAAACTTTGTAAGTTTGACAGTGTCCTTTTAGCAGAGAGACTGTAACAACTTTTGTCTTTTCTCATTATGTTTGGACATTACACTGGGTTTGCTCTTTCGTTGTTTGTCAAAAGTCTGGCAAGACCCCTGTTCTGCCCTTGCTGCAACCCAAATCTTACAGAGGGGATTTTTAAAGTCATAATGACAGTTATGTTCTCAGCTCACACAGTGCCTAGCTGCCCTTTGTGCCGTTAAAAATCTCCCATTAATTCTGTGTTCTTCTGTTTAGCATTTTTTGCTTTAAAACCGGATATTTGAATTATTTGTCAGCCACAGTTACTTATGTTGCTTGGCTTGTTACACCCAGTTCTTACTTTGGGTAGGAGTCTCAATTTGTTTTACTATAGATATGTGAACATTGTTTGAAGAACTATGGGGGCTCCATTCTTCTTCAGCGGGAGTGCTTAGATTTGTTTCAGATGTGAATTTTGTTTTCATAATATTCCTGGAAAGAGTATTTTCATCAGGGTTACATGAGAATGTGAAAAGGCATAAATCAGTCAGCTTTGTGATGGAGCAAATATTAAAATGTCTTTAATTTGGAGATCATGTGTATCATTTACTTATAGTACTTAAAATCAAGGTCTTGATGCTCACTTGGCACCCTACTATGGTAGCATATAGCAGTTCTGAAAGGCAGAAGCGTTGTTTGGGGGAGGGAGTTCCTGTTCGTTAGCATTTGTGATGTGGGAGTTTTGGGAGATGTTTGAGATACAAATTCTCATTTTAAAAACCCCTGAAATATTATTTAAATTAACACTTTCCATTGATTAGAGAAGGCAGTTTCATAGGAGCTGAAAGTTATCAAGTAGGTTCTTTGTACTTTAGTTTTGATGAAACAGTGAGATTTGTGCTGTATTTTGTTATGTTGCCATCTCTCCCACTATTCATGGGTTTCCCTTGCTGTTGTCTCTGAAAAACTACCATTTGAATTTTGGTGTATCTAGTCAAATGGAAATATAAGCAACAAAAATAAATCAAAACTGCATTTATGAGATTAATGTGTTCAGATATCTAGATCATAAATTAAAAACTTCTGGCAAATAGAAATAAGACTAATGTTGGAAAATGACTGAAGAAGGCGAGTGTGGGAATTGCCAAGTCTGTAGGGAAGTGTCACACCATATATTAGGTATTACTAATACTTAAATATGTATTTGTGCTCCATCAACAAGTTCTTAAATAGTTTGTGCTCAGCAGAGGATGTACATTGCTCAAATTTTTTTTTTGTGATTTTTTTTTTTTTTTAGTGGAAATTAATAAATTGCTGAAGCACTATGTATATCACTTGGTGCATTGTGCAGATTTAAGAAAATCTGCTTTTGATTGATACAGAAAAAATCTGTATTTTGTTCTGTTAAGGGTTTAAATCTACTTTTGGATAAATTGCATAAATAAATGGTTTGGAAATAGTTTTAATTTTTCTTCTAATCCAGTCCCAAGATTAGGTTGCATTCTAACTGGATTTGAATTTACAGTTCAGGTTTTTTATATTTAAAACGGATGTTGAGATATATTTATATAGTTCCTCCGATTCATTGTGCACATTTATTTCTTCTACAGAATGTGAAAATAAAGCAGTTCATTGATTTTAGTCTCAGCATTGGAGATAGACTTTTAAAATATTTGTATGGGCTTAAAATCTTTGTGATGAGTATGGTGTTTTTTTCTTTTGATTTATAACAAAAGGCAGACTTTAATACTGCTAGGTTCTGAGTTCTTCCATGTCCTGTTGAGGCCACCTGGCCTGTGGGTGCCCATGCTTTTCATTAGTTGAGCAGGGCTGTAATGGGATGGTAAGTCACAGCTGCTGCTCAGGTGTAGGGCTTCCTTGCTCTGGCAGTCTTAGGTCTTAGCCCTGTAGCCTCCTATTCCTGTCAGATACTTTTGGCTGCCACCATGTTCTCACCCTGTGCTGTTGCATTGCTGAGCAGAAAGACAACTTCAGGGGAGTCTGAAACCCTGTGTAGATGCACTACATGCCAGCCAGGAATTTATCTGGCTTTTTTTTTTTTTCTTTCCCTATCTTCCCATGCCCAGTGTAAGAACAACAAAAGTACCTGCTGGAATGTATTGCACATGTCCTAAAGGCTGTGGACACTTGTAGAGTAAATTAGGAAAAGCGCATGGTTGGAAGTAACGGTCTCCATGTGGGGAATTTTGTAATGGAAAGAGCCGTAACTTTCAAACAGTCTTGCTGAGTTCAGACTAAGAACAAGGGGCATATACCTCACCTGAGGGGCCCCAAAAAGAGGGGATTTTTAACAAAGCCTTTGTAAATACGAATTTCCCAGGACTCCAATTCATTGGAAATTGTAACTACTTATTTTGTTGTGAAAATCTACATATTTCATTATAAAAAATGACTGACCAAGAAATACCAAGGATGCTGTCAATCTCCTTTAAATTCCTACTGTTATTTAAAAATATTTCAGGACTTTAGGCTAAATTCAATCTAAATGTCATAAGTGTTCTTTGCAGAGAATAGTGTTTCTGGAATAGGTTAGGAAATTTTAAAATTACATGTCAGAAAAGACCATGTAAGTTTGCTACTGCAGTTTACACAAAGCAGGACCGTACCTCAATGGGAAGCTGTATCTTAGCAGTAAAATATTTTGCTGAAATGAAAAACAATGTAAAACTGAAACTGAGAACATAATGCATACCTATGTCCTACTGGTTTTATAGATAGTATTGCAGAGAAGGGTATGGAATTAAAACCATACATTAAAAATGTCCTGTAAAGCTTGTAAGTTTATGCAGAAATTGCTATAGGACGTAATACTCCTTTGCAATAACCTTTATCCTGCTAAAATTCACAAGCTTTTATTCTGTACTAAAACTACATTTAGGCAATGCAGCATTTTTTATTTTTATTGATGCAATGTATTAACTACTTTGGACTCTCTATAAAATTGTGAACATCTGTTTCTTTACTGGCAAGAGGAACAATCTTCAACTTGCATACACCTAGGACCAGGCTGAAACGTTAATTGAATGACCAATTGTATATTATTGTAATTGGTTATTTAATGTAAACTCATTTTTTGATGTGATCTTGGTTGTTACTCTGAACTGCCTGAACATTGTATATCCTAATTGAGTTATATTGTATGAATTATTTATTTGTAATTGGATATCATGTTTCAGAAATAAAATTAATTTCACAAATCAGGCCCCGTATGTCCAGTTTTTTAAGTAGCATTTGATTTTTATCTGTCTGAGCCTAGATAATTTATGGTTGTAAATTAGTGAACTTAAATCATGTTAGTTGAGTATGTGGCTGTTAAAGAAGGGTAGTGGGTTAGGATAGTTCAAAATGTTTTTTACCGGGGAAACCCATTTGGTGGTAGTCATGTCACTTTATTTTGCTCCCTGCCTTGCATTGCTGGTAAACTTTTGCAAAAGGCTTCACCCTTGCATTGCTTGGTTTTGGTATCTTGACAGGTTTCTGTGTTAATAGCCATGTGCTTGTGCTTTGAGGGTAGTGAATATTCTGGATGACTGCTCAGCCATTTGTGCTCTACAGATACTGTGGATGGGTTTTTTTCTGTATGTTAATACAGTTGGTAGTGAGTTTATATTTCTGGAATATTACCCTTATGTGCAAGGCTTGCCAGGTCAGGAGTGAAAGTGATTGATACCTAATGTAGTGGGAATTCAGCCAACTTGTGTCTTTTGAAACTGTAATTTCAAGTCTTGTCAAATATTCAAAATAAATGTGACAGTTTCAAGGTGAATGCAGACACACTAGTTATTCGGCAAGTCTGGTTTTCCACTATTGGAAAGTTACTGTCTTGCTTTGTCTATTTTATTTGCATATGGTCTGCCATTTACCTTTTTTTTTAAGGGCACTTGCTATGGTAATACCTTATGTAAAACTGTAAGCTTCTGACACATTTTTTTTTACCATCCAGGTGTACTAGGACTTACATTTAATGTTTAATTTGACTTGTTTGTGGGCTTAAGGGTCAGATGCCAAAGAGATGTTAGATACTTGCAATTGGACTTCTTAAGAGATCTTGAGCACTTAAATTTAAGGTTTTGATTACAAGCTCACAAACCATTGCTGGTAACCATCCAACCTGGAGACATCTCAACTTGACAGATGCCTCTTTCTTCTTTTTTTGGGGTCTTTATTTACAGGTTCCCCAGATGCCTAGGGCCATAGTGCTGGCTAAATGTCAAGCCTTCCCTGCTGCATAGCTGATCTTTATTTTTATCCCTTTAATCAGGCATGAGAAGGCTCCAGCTTCCTCCAGATTTTCAGTTATATTTTGAAGTAGTTGTTTGTTTTCTTTCCTTAAAAACTACTGGTTTTTTTAAGGTTGAAAACTTCTTGTTTCACATTCATTTAGGATAATATGATACACTTTAATTGATTCCCCCCTTCCCTCTCTCCCCTTAGGCATCCACAGCTGCTAAAATGTCTTTAGGGGGCTCTTTAATAAAATAGAGAAGTAAACAAGTTCTGAACTATTATAGTAGGTAATTTATTTTAGCAACTGATTTCAGAAAAGATAAACGTAGCCATTCTAGGAGCCCTTAGTTTTCAGAAAATAAGGAAACCATTAGAGTGGCACAAGATCCAAAATAATAGATAAAATAAAATTACAAATAAAAACTGAAGTCCTGAGTTGCTATTGCTGTCTATACCAGAAAAACCTAGGGGAGCCAGCAGGGAAAGGGAGTGATTAAAAAAAAAAGAATTATAATACTTAGGAGTAATATTTGTGAAAGTCATTTAATATTTCTGTGTATATACAATTTCTGTCTTGGCATTAAAACCAAGAACAAGGCCTGTGCGACACCTCTGCGCCTGTACCTGTTCTTGCATGCCATCACATCACAGCAGTTTCGATGCTGCTGTGTGGAGCAGGCGGCTGCAGCGGGGCATCCCAGCCAGCTGTCACCAGGGGGAGGGAGGCATGCTGCCCTCCCATTTTAAAAGTTCTCCTGCAGGCAAGACCAGATGAAAGGTCTTTCCCTGGGAAATCATAGTTATAAAGTGGAAATGCACTCAGCAAGCTAGGGGATCAGGTGATAGCTAGCATTTCCTTTGTGGTGGGCAGCCAGTGGTAGAAATGTTTCTTTTTTGGCATGAAATGTTGAGTAGTTTTCATCTGCCTTCTGAGGTGCCAGTGAAAACTGGGAAATTACTAAATGTTACCAGGAGAGAGAGCTTTTACATGCGGTTAAGGGAAGCCGAACTTTTGGGCCAGCACTGGTGTGGGTGGGCGCACACATGCCTGTGCCTGTCGAGGTGGGATCCAGCTGCTGCAGCTGGAGGGTCAGCAGGTGCAGGGAGCTCAGATTTCGGAGAGTATTTGTAAATGTTTGCTCTCCTGAAGCTACTGAGTATTAAAACATATACCTGTAGCTTTCAGCAAGTAGTGTCTGTAAAATTTGAATCCCAATTTCATTATATATTGGTTTAAACTAAGTATTTAATTCCTGCTTTATGTGCAAACTGTTGCTTAGCTGTAACTGCCCATCCATCTAACATAAAGACCTTGCAGCCTTCACACAGGGCATTGGGCCACTTGTGTCTGCGCGTGGTCCTGGACAGGCATCCCCAAACTGCTGCCTGGTCCCCGGTATGAGATGGCTGGTAGAAAAGCAAATGCCGTTTCCCTGTTGGGGTAGGTGGGTTATGTTGGCTGTGAACACACGTACCTGAAAGAGTGGCGCAGCTGTTGGTAATGAAATACTCTACTCGTGTAACTTCAGGGTTATGCAGCACTGCCAAGTGCAACAGCAGGAAAAAAGCCATATGCCACATTTTAATCCCTAGTCCCTGAATATCCATGTATTCTGATAGACCCTTTCCTACTCTGATACAAGTGTGTGTTTGGGGTTTTTTTGTAATTATTTCCAGATACTTGAGAGACAACTTTATGAACGCAAATGGTTCTAATGGAAAAGTTCATATGGCTTTCCATTGATACGCCATCACAGCAACTGTTTGCCAAGAGGCCTGGTAGATAGTGCCTTGATCTCTCTGAAATGGCAGGTTCTTGATATAGATCCTTATGCTTCTATAGAGTATCTGCTACTTCAGGCTCCTGGAGGGGGTGGGGGAGAAAGCATCATTTCGAAATACGAAAATATGAATAGCAAAAGAGAGTGCCCGTTGTATCAAATTCCCATACAATTCACTGTATCCCACACTGGTAAAAAGTCCTGGATGCTTAGCTAATTAATACAGACTTTGATTTAGAGATTTACCTTAGTGATGCTGATCAGATGCAGTTAACTTTTGTTGGTTTTTTTTAAAAATAATAATTACATTAGGGAGCTTCCTTGCAAGTTTGCTATTTTTGATACCTTTCCTAGCGTCATGTATATCTACAGTTGTTTTTAAAGATTAAGTGTATAATTTATAAGATTTAAGAATGACCTGGAAAGCAGAGCTTCCATTGTTTAGTATAGTTGGAAGATAGGTTGTGGATGTTTAACAAGCTGTATGGAAACTAGTTGCTAAAACTTGTTAAGCATTTTGTCTCAGCAGTTCTCTGGATCTCACCCACATTTACTGAGTATTACTGCCAGACTTCTTGGAAATGAGGTGGGTTTGCTTAATTTTGTTGCAATTCAGGGCTTGGTCTGTTCCAGCTATAGTAGTGTAACAAAACTATCAGAAAGACTGGGAATGCCAGTGAGCAATCTGCCCTGTTCAGCATTGCATCCTCTTTCCTCTCCCTTCTTGCCAAAGTTGCATAAGAGCCATAGAACAAGTTGGGGGAGGGGTCAAAATGGGCTGATAAATTTGTGATTTTGTGTAACTCCCCTGGGCTATCTGCATGTACGTGTGTACTTCTGCTCGCTGACATGCACAGGCAAATGTTGCATAGGTGACCTGCAACAGGGCAGGATTTAGGGCCAGAGTTTGGATTGTCCCTGCCTGGTGCAGACCAGCATGGAGCTTCTGGAGGGTGGTGGTTTCTGCCCAACTGCTTCATGTCTCACCAAGGATGCTATGAGCAAAATGTGCTAATATTTCTTTTCAGAGACCTATTTTTATTTGAAGTCTTGATAAACTTGATAAATACTTCTTTGAAAATATTTCTCATGTACTTATTCCTCCATGTATTTAGTAATGGATTATCTGATGTTTTCCAGGAATGACAGGTGGCGGGTCATCTTGTAGGCAGTGTGTTGCTGATGGGGAGTGTGTCCCCAGGGCAGGTGTCCTTCTGATGCTAAACCCAAGGTGCTGCTGTGGCTCTGGATAGTCTGACTTTAGTTTGATCAAATGCAGTTGCCCTTCCAGCTACAATTACAGTGTTACCACTGAGCATGCAGAAGAGTTTCTGTGCCCTCACATGCTCCACAGTACCCCAGTCTGCTTGTTTTGTATTTACTTCTGTTTATATTAATTGATGTGCCATTGATAGTGTGTTTTGCAGTAATTTTCCTAATGTTTTCATAAATAGGTGGGATTTGGGACTTTATCCAGAGTTTTTCCCAGTGGTACAAAGGGATACTTACTTTTAAATCATTTTTCCATTTACTTCTATCAGCTTTATTTTGTGTCAGTAACTTTTCTTTATATGACGTACTGATCAGATCTTTCTGGTGTGATCTTTTCCATAACTGATGCTTTGTCTTTGTTAATCGTTTTACAAAATTTGGACTATATTAGATGTAGATACAATGGATTGCTTGCAAAGGAGGGAGGCATGATGCTCCCTGTAAATCTTGGTTGCCAGAGATTTCTCGAAACTATTTTTTCTAAAATCCTGGACCAGTGAGCCTGTGAGTGACTGCTGCCTGGAGCAGCCCGTGCTCAGGGCAGTGTGCAGGTGTGTACTCCATGCTGCCTTTGTTGGTCCTTGTGGGAGGGTGGGCCCACTGCTTATCAGGGTGGAGACAAAGGACCCCGATTGGGAAGTGCCTGCAATGGAAGCAGGGGCTCCCTGTCCTTGGCCTCTGGTTTGAGGCTCTCCAAATAGTCAGTGCTGCAGGACTGCAGCAGCCCCTGGTTCATTGGGAATTAGAAAACTTGATTTAAAGATAATAAATAATGTTTTACATTATCCTGACACCTTTCTCTTTGCATAGTCTAAATATCCCATAGTTAAATATCCCATAGTCTAAACGGGGCAGTGAATTTTCTTGTGATGTCTTATAGTTTAGTTGGTTACAAGAGTGCTCCTGGTGAAAGGATGC